GTCTTATATATACAATTGGTTTATAATATAAACCTTCGCCCAGTAAATTAATTTAAGCCCAAAAAAACTAACTATTTTCTATTGTTATATTTAACTAATAAACTTAACATATATAAAAGTCAATTTTCTAAAATAATTTTTTAGTAAAAACCCGTGTTTTTTAATAAAAAATATAGGAATTTCTTTGGACTAAAGAATATTTCCTGGGCTAAGGTTCATTCTCTTTACTGTATGTTTTTATTCAAACTTTGTCACTTTTGAAAAAAATACATTTCAATCTTTTTTATAAAATTGAAAATTAAATAATAAATCATATAAACATAAATAAACATAAATAATGATATTCTAGTGTTACAAATAATTTTCCCTATACATTCCGGTTATTACTATTATGTATAAATTTGAGGAAAACGTTAGAGAAAGGATAACTCTAAAAATGATAATATTAACAATGTTATCATTGTTTGTATTGTTAAATATATTAATATATTAACAATATTGACACTTAAAATATATTGAACTATATACAAGTGTTTAAAATTCGAGTTTATGAAACACAATTTCTGTTTTTAAAAGGTTTATAATGTGTATTATAAACCTTTATAATACACATTATTATATGTGTATTATATCAACCCACAGCACCCAAAACACTTAATTTTTAATAAATATTTTATGATAAATATAACATATCAATTTAAATAACACGATGTATTTTTACATGTTGAAACAAATTAATAAAAAAATTCCAAAAAACAGTGAAATTATTCACACAAGTTGTAAATTCATTGGATTTTCAATTTCCTCCTTAACTTTTTGAGTCTTTTCAAAGAAGCACTTGACGTAGACCAATCCAAAAACAACAAATAAAATTAATTCGACAATTCCGGCTATAATTCCAATACTGGAGAACACAATAAGTAAAGATTCTTCTTTTGGATCTTCCTTACGACACAAAAAGTGCGAAGGAAATATACCAATTGGTTCCAAAAAAGTGAAAACGCTCATCAAAACAACAACAGATAGAACACTGACAATATAAACAATTGTTTCTCTTACAGTGACTTTTTTCATTAACAGTCTAATTGAATATGCAAAATAAACAATTGGTAATAAGATAAACAGCACATTTGCTATTGTCAGTGTACCAAGTGTTCGCGAATAACACCCGCTCTGTGTTTGAATCGAAGACGTTAATAACATAAATGACAAATACCAAGAAAATCCCATAAACACCTTCTTGTTAGTATTTTTACTATAAATAATAGATTCATAATTTTAATTCATTATATAATATAATATAATATAATATAATATAATATAATATAATATAATATAATATAATATAATATAATATAATATAATATAATATAATATAATATAATATAATATAATCATCAAACTCCGTATAATAATGCTAATAAAATAAATGTCCCTCCAATAAACGAGCTAATCAGTTGTATTGTGTGCAATTTCATTTACCTTTGTTCCAAGTTCACATATTAATTTTTTATAATAGATTAGAACATTCTTTTAAATATGGACTTAAAAATATTTTGATTTTATAGAAATGTTTAATTATAATTTATAATAATAAAATCTATTTGATTTAATTGGTATTTAAATTTAGATTGTACATGTTTGAAACTGGACCGAAATTGACCACTGCTTCTAAAAATAGATTTATTATTTTGTTTCAAAACATATTAAAATTAAGATCGTAGTAAATAGGCATTTTAAAGACTATTAGCGTTGGTTACCTAATTGAAAAATGCTGAACAGCTTCATTAAGTAAATGAACATAAAAAACTAGGCTCAAAAACACATTCAAAGCGTCTGTTTATTTATTTCAATGTCACTAAATTTCCAAGTCCTCTTTTTACATAAACATTTCCCTTAAAAGGGTAACCACATCAACTTTTACATAGTACGCATAATGAAAATGGGTTATATAGTGATGCACAAAAAGTCGCTAAGAAATGGAGTTACTCTAAAAAAACAATAGTGGCAATTTTTTTTGTTCAATTAGCCATTCAAAAAAAAAATTCATGGTGTTTAAAAACGAATTTGAGAGTTATAATGAGAATTCTTTACATTAGTTGATGAAAACGACCACAATGTTTAAATTTGAAAATTTGTTGTTACTTTATTTTCTGAGAAACCATATCAAATGTACGTTGTTTAAATTAATCAAAAATATTTTTTACTGATAAAGAAAGTGCTGATTCATATTGAATAAAATTTTGTTTAACTATTTTTATTGTTTTTTTTTGTTGACCCAACTTTGTAACAAGTATTTTATGTGGTATTTTGTAATCCATTCGATGCGTTGAATATTTACAATAACTCATGTTGAGTTGTTGAACAAATTCTTGTTTTCTTTAATTCGTATGACATTAATCAACGTTTTAAATAATTGTGTTTTTTATAA